TAAACTCCTAATAAAATATATTTGTATTATATATCAAAATAAATAGTCTAATTTATTTTTGGAATAATTTTTTTAATAGAGTAAAATATAATTTAATATACGAAAAAGATATAATGAATAACTTAGTCCAATAGCTCTAGTAATTATTTTTATAGTAATAGTTACCAAATTTAAATTCAAAATATAATTAATAAAATTTATTTAATAAGATAAATTCCTATTAAAATTGATTTGCCTTATCAAAATAAATAGTATAATCATTTTTTAATAAATAGGTTGTTATAGAGTAAAATAAAATTTAATTGACGAAAAAAAGATGTAAAGAATAACTAAGTCAAACAACTTTAGTAATTACATTTTAAAACAATAATTTTGCAAGTGATGTGACATTACACGAGACACTATAAAGGATTTAGATTGTTAATCTATATAAATTTGAAAGAATTTTTCTAACTCATTAATAAGCATGACTTGAAAAAAGATAAACCTTCTTTTGATCTTTGACTTTTATATAATAGTTTTGACCAACAAAATTAAGAAAAAATAATTTAAATTTTTTTTCTACATTTTAAATAGGGCTAGTTTCAAAAAAATAATAATTTTTTTATATATATAATAATAATAAAGTAATTAACTTACCATATATAGACATATTTTATATAGATTCTTACAAAAAAGGGTGGTGTTGGCGTCTGCATGACGTCAACAAATGAATAAAAATAGATATATATCATTTTAAAATAAAAAAGGGGTATGAAAGTAATGAGGCATTAAAGGGTAAATATTTTAAGGGAGGTTTCACAGACCGTTTAAGTCTCCATGGTCCGTGAAACACTTTACCGGCCGCATAGCCGGTTGTTAAGCTTCAGTGACTTCGACTCGCCCTCATCTCTAGCCACTCTCCAGCACATCAAGTTCCAGGGTGAGCTATTCATTCCAGCTCGTGTTGGATTCTCTTGGTCATGGCATGATGTCCTTAGTTTTCAGACATAAACTATTTTATTCATTTATTTTGGTGTCTTTAATATTCTGACTTAGTATTTGAAGACTAGATGTTCTTGATGTGATGACTTTCAAATTTTGGGGATAATAAGTGTTAGACTTTAGAGGTTTATTTGATTGCTTACTTTAATAAATTTTGATCTTCTGCATTATTATTGTTGTTATTCGTAGTTGAATTATTGATATATGTTGGGGTTTGAATTCCTTGGTTCGCCCACTTAGGAGGTTATGTGTGGGTGCCATTCACAACTCATTTTGGGTCGTGACAAATTTGGTATCAGAGCTTTAGGTTCGGTGATCTCATCACACAAGGACAAGTCTAGTAGAGTCTTGCAGAACGGTATGTGGACGCCTTTACTTTTCTTCGAGAGGCTATAGGACTTTAGGAAAACTTCATTACTTCTTTCTTTCGTGCTACTACTTGAATCCAATTGGTATCTAGGTGATACAAATTGGTATATGAAGTTCTTCACTCTATTTCACATATGGTTAGTACTAGAGTATTAGAATTTGAAAAAACACCAGGAAGAAAAAAAAAGTGTCCTTGGAAATAGGTATATTTTTCTTGATTGACTATAGGGCCTGTAATGACTAGTGATCAAAATGATTTTTTTATAAAGTTCATAAAGTTGAAACCCTCATTCTTCATAAGTATTGATTATGAAGATGCTTATGCTTTCATTGTTGATTGTTTTGAGCTGCTTCGTAAAACGAATATAGTGGAGAAGCTTAATGTTGAGTTTGTGACATACTAGTTTTGGGGAGACGCAAAATGTGGTGATAGTCTCATGTTGAGTGCCGATTAGTAAAGGCATTACCTATGACTTAGGTCATCACTTTCTACCTTCTTCATCCAATTATATACCCCAAACTTTGAGCGATATGAGGAGATATGGTTTCTGAATATAGAGAGACGAAAGATATGTGTTGCAGCCTATGAGGTTAAATTTTGTACTTTATCTAGTTATGTGACAACATGCAAGAAGTTTCATAAGGGACAACTAGAAAATGAACATCATTACTTGGGAAATACAGTTAGTAAAGTTGTCATAACATGTATGGGTTGTTTGGTGAATGATGAAATTAGGTTGCGCCAATTGAGTTTAGAATCTTAACTAGATTCCATAGATTGATTGTATATTAAAGAGAGTCATGATACGACTACTACAATAGTACCAATGCTTACTTCGTCAGATTTATGAAGTGTGTTACTTTTGTTATCGACCCGATCTAAGAAAGAATGCAAATTGCTTGGGCTAAAGATATAACAAATTTGGTAATGTTTTGCAGCTATTCAAGGGTTAGAAATGTGTGGCTATTTGGGTACGATCTTATCGATATATATGATGTGTTCATGTGAGGTATCTAACAGACTTTCATGGTGTGGTAGTACTAGGGTTATGTGGAAATGAATACGACGATTGTCAAATGAGAATCTCACTACTTAAGGAGTGGATTGATACAGGAATGACAAACGTATGGATAAAGAAAGTCAGTGAGTGTAGCGACCCTTTCAAAAGGATACTACCACTTAAACAAGAAATCTAATTAAGTACTTGTGACATTTAAATGAGATTAACGAAGGCCATATTGATTATAATTTAGTAGAGGGATTAGGTTCATATATATATATATATATATATATATATATATATAGTTAAGGATGTGCATCTTTCCCATTTAAACATTTATGTGATGTCAAAAATAATTTAAGCAAATAACTAACGAGCTTTTCATGCATATATTATCCTCACTCCTAAGGATGAAATAACAAGAATATTACCCACTTTCGAGTACCCAAAATCAGCCGGTTCATGCTTTACACAAATATTCTAAACAAATAGTAAATTTAGTATATTACAAGACTTGGGCTTATACACCCCAGAAGAACAAAACATAGGGCCATACTTATATTACAATCCATGGTGACATGATCAAATTAGTCTTCAAAAATTTCATGTAAAATATACAACACATAGATCATGTACAAGTCCCAAGGTTTATACAAAAATATAGATGCCTATATGCAAATGTGATCTTCCTTAAAGCTCTCAAAATCTCCATCTCCAATGGCCCACTTCACGCCTCCTCTCAATCAATCCCTACGATAGAAACAACTATCTCTAAGGATATAGCTTAGTGGTGCAAAACTATAGGTTCGGAGCCCTCAGATTAACCAAGCTACCTTTTTACAAGTCATGGGCATCATATATAATCAAACATAATAAATAAATCAAGTAAACAATATATCAAGAGTATCAAATTCGATATTTTAAGATCCAAATATCAAGAATGCTCATAGCACCATTCTCCAATAGATTCAATAACAAGGCTCGCCCAATATGTACATCATGTCTTCACACCAAGCACAAACAAGTATCAAGAAGGGCCGACGCCTTGTATCAAGAAGGGTTAAAGCCCAATAATCAAGAGAACCAAGAACCATATTAAAAATGACTTTCTAGTTCGTACTTAAAATGGACAACTTCCATTCTTAAGACGAACTAAAACTCCACAGTCAAGATGGCAAATGATCCGAATCAAGAGGCATGCCAATAGTGACAAAGTCACAGCCACAAGAAGGACAAGGTCCCAACAAGAGTGCCAGGTGATCAAAAAGTCCGTACAAGTGGGCGAGTTACACGAATGTCTTTAACGTCTTAAAGGATACCAACACAGCAATGCAAAGTGACAAGAGGTAATCAAGGTACCAAGATAACTTTCAGATATACCAGCAGGTAAACAGAGTACAAGTACAAGTTTATACACAAACCTCAGTGCTTTAGGAAAGAAACAGTTCAACACAACTTCACGAGTTCAGACCGTAGACCAACCAACGTTTCAAGGTCCTCAACTTGTTCACGAATATATACAACCTTAAAAATACAATTAAATAGCTTCTTTAATTCCTAGCAGCTCAATAATGTTGATGTAAAACAAGATTATCATCACAAGTAAGCTTAGCTTGTACAAATACGACTATGCTCCCAGAACAGTGATTCTGGCCAGTCTAGTACCTCATGTCCCAACTTAGATTTGAAAATGAAAACTGCAAAACTAGACTTTATAACCTTCATGAAAGATGTATCTACATATCTTAAGGTTGCAAAAAAACAAGAATCACCACAAAATATATTTTGTACAACAAGATATATTCAAAACACTAACAGGGGTTCATACAGGATTTGAAATTCCAAAATCTGGACAGAACTTGTCCTATTTTGCGTCCCCTATTTAGAATTCATAACAACCAAATTAGAGTTTTACATAAACATAAGAGTTGTAGGTATACGAATTAGCTTTCCAAATCATATTTATTCACTGTAAAATAAGTTCTAGAGACAGAGATATGCATAAAATACCAAAAACACTACCCAGCTCAGAAACAGATTTCGTCACTTACCAAAAGAAGTGTGTGTCTTCGAATTCCAGCCAAAAGGGCCAAGTTTTTCTCTTGTGATTTTGAAGAACAATCTGTTTAGCTAAGGTTCTAATGTTGTTAGACTTGAGGGAAACGAATTTAATTAAAGGAGGTGTGAAAATATATAGTTACAAAAGTGATACTTATCACATTTACAGATGTCACCAAAAGGGGCTGCCCAAACAAAAAGTTGGCTGCGCAAAAAGCATACATATATACCTATATGTATATCTCTCACCTCCCTTTAAAGTTATACATAATTCTAATTAGAATATTACGAAAACACTCCAATACAATACCTTAAATTACTATCACAATTTATGTTAAGCAAGTAAGCAATTCTCAAAACATTTCAAGTTCCCAAAATAAGAGTAAAACATATTGTAATAATTAAAAATGGTAAATCAGCATATGACTCTTGATTAATATTTAGGGATGTTACAACTCTCTCCCCCTTAAATAGATTTCATCTAGAAATTTACCTAACACTAGTCCCGGAACAAGTGTGGATACTGCGTCCTCATGCCTTCTTCTCTTTCACAGGTAGCTTCTTTTCCAGAATGGTTCCTCAAATTACCTTTACTAAGGGGATTCTATTTTTTCTAAGTTGCTTTACTTCTCGAGCTTCAATTCGGATAAGTTCTCCATTATATGTCAAGTCAGGATTAACCTCAATAGATTCAACTGGAAGAACATGTGATGGATCAGAACGATATCTTCTGAGCATAGAAACATGAAAGAGATTGTGGATCTTCTCCAACTTCGGTGGCAAAGCTAATTTACATGCAACTGGTCCAACCCTTTCAAGTATCTCATAAGGTAAAATAAATCGAAGACTAAGTTTTCCTTTTTGGCCAAATCTTATAATCTTTTTCCGTGGAGACACCTTTAAAAATAATTTATCTCCCACTTGATATTCAATGTCACGCCTTTTAAGATCAGCGTACGCCTTTTGTCAATACGAAGAAATCTTTAGACGATCCTTGATAATTTTACCTTATCCTCTGTTTGTTGCACAATTTCAGGACCAACAAGCTTTCTTTCACCAGCTTCACTCCAACAAAGAGGGGTCCGACATTTCCTTCCGTATAGGGCTCCATAGGGAGGCATTCCAATACTTGATTGGCAGCTATTATTATAAGCAAATTCTATCAAAGCCAAGTGTTCGTCCCGAACCTCAAACTTCATAATACAAGTTCAAAGCATATCCTCCAAAATTTGTATCACTCTTCCCGACTGGCCGTCTGTTTGAGGATGGAACGAAGTGCTAAATTTCAACTTAGTACCCAAAGTTTCCTTCAAGCTACCCCAAAAATTGGATGTAAACCTTGGGTCTTGGTCAGATACAATAGACATAGGGATCCCATGTAGTCTTACAATCTCATTAATGTACAATTCGGCTAAATGCTCAAGTGAGTAATCCATCCTGATTGCTAAGAAGTGAGCATTCTTGGTTAGCCTGTCCACAATTACCCATATTGCATCATGATTTCTTTGGGTGCGAGGAAGTCCAAAAACAAAGTCCATAGTTATTCTCTCCCATTTCCATTCCCGTATCGACAAGGGCTGTAGTAAACCAACTAGGACCTGATGTTCTGCCTTTAAATGTTGACAAACCAAACATTTGGAAATGAACTCCGCAATGTCTCTCTTAATACCCATTTCCCAACCAATAATGTTCTTGATGGTCTGGTACATCTTTGTACCTCCAGGATGCATTGTATATGGTGAAGTATGTGCTTCATTCAATAATTTTCTAATCAAATTGTCATCATTAGGGATGCATAACCTGTTCTGATAAAATAAGACACCATCCTCTGTTAATGTAAAATCAAGCTTTTCCCCATTTTGAACTTCTCTAGTCAATTTTACAAGTGTCTCATCTATCTTTTGTGCTTCTTTGACCTGTTCAAATAATATTGGCTTTACTTGCAAATTAGCAATAACTGAACCATTTGAATCAAGTGTGAAACAAATATTCAAGGCTCTTAACTCAAGGAGCAAGGGTAAATGACGCAAAGAAATACTTTCAAAGGATTTTCGACTTAAGGCATCTGCAACCACATTGGCTTTATCATCTTAGGCATATTTATATGCCTTAATTGTCAATATTGCCCATGAATCTATTAGATTGAAGAATGATGTCTATTCATTAGCTTAATATTTTGTGTAACTTGTGATGATTGCAAACTCACACACATGATTAGATGTTTCAGGAACCATCGATGAAATTGGAGTTGGAGCAAAGAAAGAAGGAGAAAAAATGAGCAAGAAAACGACCATGGCAAAAATAAGCAGTGCTAGGCGAGCTGAGAGGCGCGCCGTGCCAGAGGATGCCGGACTGGGGCATGTTTGGGGTGCGATGTTAGGCGCAACGCCTCACCGTGATGCCAACTTTTCCAAGTTTTAAACATTAAATAGGATTCCTAATTTGAGTAGGTTTTGTTCCCAACTTTTCCTACTATTATAAATAGATCCTTAGGGCTCCATAATAGGGGTGGAAGTTTTGATTTAGTATACAAGAGCAAGAATTCAAGTTTGTAATAGGTTTTCATCCTTTTAACTCTTCTATTTTCCAGAAATTGCATGAACTATTGTATTTTCTTGTTTTCTAATTAGCATGAGTGGCTAAAAGCCCTAGTTCTGGGGCTGTAGCTACGAATTAATTGTTGATTATTTGAGGTTGTTGAATTTAATTTTTGGTTGTCAATACAAGTTACTTCTATATTCTTGTTTTAGTATTTTATGCTTGCACACCATAAGATAAATCTATTGTCTAATCTTAAAATCGGGAGAGGAGAGATTAGATAGACCAGGGAATATAGAGAGCTTGGTTCACCCATTAAATTGAGGTGATTAGTGTTCAGGAGGGATGCCCAGACGAACACCTTTCTTGGTTACGAAATAAGATGAAATATAAATTCTCGCTAGTTAGTTTATTTATCCCCGCTCAACGATGCAGTTAGATAGCTAACTGGGGTAGGCGATGAGAGGCGTATAACCCGGATCATATCATCAACCCTATAAATCAGTAACTTGACAACTGAAGTTAGTTCTAAGCCAATAATATGATACATGATAATCATTATATGCTGTATCCCTGGAATTTCTTTTATCTTGCTTGAATCATCATATTAAAGTCGTTCACAATTAGTTACTTTCATTTATTGCATAATTAGTAGTAGTTAACAATCAATCATCAACTCTTGAAAATGTTACTTTTACTTTTATTTGTAGAATTAAGTGTTAAATATAAAGTGATCATAAATCCTGTGGGAACGATAACTCATTTCTTATAGAATCTATATTACTTGCGCGACCGCGTACACTTGCGTGTATACTGGGGAGCAACAAGTTTTTGGCGCCGCTGCCGGGGACTTAGAAATTGATCTATATTCAATCTTTTTAAGTCTACAATTAGATTATTTAGATATTAATTACTTGATCTTAGCTTGTTTATTGCAGGCACTTGATTTTCAGGTCTAGCTCGAAAAGGAGAACTTGTTGACCCTTACAACGAACCCGAGAGAGTATTATGCCAGCGCAGGAAAATGGTAAATCAAGAATGACATGGAGAATTGGGGTTCGGTTTTCTGGAAAACATTGATGATGATAATCAAGACAACTTGAATAACCCGGAAAATATGAATAACCAAAGGAACCCGAATAACTAAGGAAATCCGATTAACCAAGGGGTCCCACCTATTATACCTGGAAGGCCTGTACATGATATGACAGTCCCACTCACATCGAATTTAGCATCTAGTATTAGAAAACCTCCACCGGGGGGTAGATTTGAGCTAAAGCAGAGCATGGTACAAATCCTTCATTCTAATGGGTAATTCACTGGTCTTTCCTATGAGGATCCTCAAATCCATCTTAGGAACTTCATAAATATTACAGATACATACATCCCAATTGGAGTCTCATCAGACTATGTGAGGCTAACATTGTTCCCATACTCATTGTTAGGAGCCGCAAGGCGTTGGTTAGACTCTGAACCTCCAAACTACCATCACTACTTGGGATTTTTTAGCAAGAAGTTTTTGAGTCGATTCTTCCCGTCCAAGAAAACTGCCAAGTTGAGGGGTGAGATAATAAACTTTGGTCAACAGCAAGGGGAATACATGTACCAAGCATGGGCGCGTTTCAAATGAATGATGAATGCTTGCCCACACCACATGCAAACTAATGAGGTACTTGCTCACACTTTCTTTGAGGGTTTAGATTATAATGCTCGTGCTCTTTTTAATAGCTCAGTGGGTGGACAAGCCCTATCCATAACAAGTGAAGAGTTCTTCGACTTACTTGATAAGCTTTCTGAAGGCAATCAAGGGTATGAAGGGGAAATGTCTAGAACCACAACCCAAAAAGCTGCAGGGATCTTGGATGTAGACCAAGCTACTGCCTTAAATGCCAAGTTAGATGCAATGCAACACAATATAACCTTACATTTCAAACAATTGGCTCTAAATCAGGCACCAGTAAATGTTGTACAACAGGCAGCCAATTAGTGTGAGGTATGTGGTAGTGGAACTCATGAAACTGAGTAATGTGAGGCAAACCTGGATTCCGTGAATTATGTGGGAATGCGCAAAGGGGTGGAGGTCAACAAAATTATGGCAATAGTTACAACTCTAGTTGGAAGAATCATCCTAACTTCTCATGGGGTGGGAACCAGAACCAAAACCAAAATCAGGCGCAATGGGCGAACCAATACCGTGCTCAAGGGGCTGGGCAACAATACCAAAATCCTAACCAAGGCGTAAATCCTAGTGCACCAAAAGGAGGGATGACCAATGAAGAGCTACTCCAAAAGCTCATGACTAAAATATGGACCAAATTAAATGCTAGAGTAAATAAGCAGGATGAGAACTTTAGAAACATCCAGATGTCCAAAATGAGTTTAGAGAAACAAGTTGCGCTAATGGCTAATTCTTTGAACTTGCGTCCCCAAGGTGGGCTGCCTGATGATACTGAGCGCAACCCAAAACAATTGCATGCGGTAAGTACTAGAAATGGGCTGCAATTAGAGGAACTAGCTCCAAAGAAGAGAGACACTGAGGTAAGTAACAAAAAAAAGAAGATGGAAGAGGTAGTAAAAAGCTCCAATGTTGAGGCACCCGTTCCTCAAAAGAAATTACCACCTCCATTTCCACAAAGGCAAAAATAGCAGAATGAAGATGAATGCTTCGGTAAGTTTCTCTCTCTCCTTAAACAAGTTCACATTAATCTACCTTTGGTTGACATTTTTCAGGGTATCCCGAAGTATGCTAAATACGTGAAGGACATTGTGACTAGCAAGAAGAGGCTAACGAACTATGAAATTATAGCACTTACTGAGGAGTGCAGCTCAAGGATCCAAAACAGACTGCCTAAAAAGTTAAAAGATCCGGGTAGTTTTACTGTGCAAATTACAACTGGGCAAAGTATTCCTACTCGGGGGTTGTACGATACGGGGGCAAGTATAAATTTGATGCCCTTATCTTTGTATCAAAAGCTTGGGTTGGGTAGTCCAAAACGAACCACTATTATTCTCTAACTTGCTGATAGATCTATTGCTAGTCCAGAAGGGGTGGTAGAAGATGTGTTAGTGCAAGTTGGTTCATTGATTTTTCTGGTAGATTTTGTGGTCTTAGACTTTGAACCCGATTATTAAGTTCCATTCATTCTGAGATGACCTTTTTGGGCCACGGGTAGGGCATTAATTGATATAGCAGCTGGTGAACTAACTATGATGGCACATGATAAGGTTGAGGTATTTGATTTTTACCGCGCTTTAAAATTGGCTTCTATTTATGAAGAGTTGTCTGCTATTACTGTGGTTGATCGCATAGCAGAATCACAAGTAGTTGTGCCCGAAGATCCTTTAGAAAGAGTGTTAGTGGGTCATGAGATAGAGGGAGACACTGAAGCTCAAGATATTGAATCATGCTTAAATCTAGCACTAGTAGACACTCGTAGGACGCAAGTGGAGTCACTAGATCGCGAGTTGGGGTACCCCACCAAAGCCATCAATAGAAGAAGCCCCTAAGTTGGAACTGAAAACTCTACCGGATCACCTAAGGTATGCTTATTTGGGTACTAATGAAACTTTGCTTGTTATACTTTCTGCAGAATTATCTGATTTACAGGTTAATGCGGCATTGCGGATCTTAAAGCAGAGGAGGAAAGCAATTGGATGGAAGATGGCTGATATTCATGGGATTAGTCCGGCGTTATGCATGCACAAATTTACATGGAGGAGGATCACAAACCCAAAGAACAACATCAACGTCGACTGAATCCTGTGATGAAAGAAGTGGTAAGAAAGGAAGTCATAAAGTGGCTAAATGTTGGAATTTGTGTACCCCATCTTTGATAGTAAGTGGGTAAGTCCGGTACAATGTGTTCCCAAGAAGGGAGGTATGACAGTGGTAAGGAATGAAAAGAATGAGTTGATTCCTACTAGAACAATGACTGGGTGGAGAATTTGCATGGATTACCGGAAACTAAATGATGCTACCCGGAAAGATCACTACCCCGTTCCCTTCATTGATCAAATGCTTGACCGATTAACATGGTAGGAGTACTATTGTTTCTTAGATGGATATTCCGGTTACAACCAGATCTTGATTGCACCCGAGGATCAGGAAAAGACCACGTTCACTTGTCCTTATGGCACATATTCTATCAAGCGCATGCCATTCAGACTTTGCGATGCACCGGCGACGTTTCAAAGGTGTATGATGGCCATTTTTCATGATATGGTGGAAGACTTTGTTGAGGTGTTCATGGATGATTTTTCCGTCTTTGGAAAATCTTTTGAGGTATGTCTCCGAAATCTTGATAAAGTATTTGCTAGATGTGAAGACAATAACTTAGTTCTAAACTGGGAAAAGTGTCATTTTTTGGTAAGAGGGGGGACAATGTTGGGACACAAGGTGTCTAAATCTAGTTTGGAGGTTGATAAGGCTAAGGTAGAAATTATTGAGAAATTGCCCCCTCTCATTTCTGTAAAAGGGGTGCATAGTTTTCTTGGTCATGCAGGTTTTTACAGGCAATTCATCAAGGATTTTTCCAAGATTGCCAGACCTATGTGCAGTCTTTTGGAGAAGGAGGCGCAGTTCAACTTTGATGAGATGTGTTTGAAAGCTTTTGAGATGTTGAAGAGTAACTTAATTGAGACTCCCATCTTAATTGCTCTTGATTAGGGATTACCATTTGAACTCATGTGTGATGCA